GAGTTTTATAAGCTTTTCAACTTCGGGATTTTAAACAATGTTGAGACTGTTAGAGACCAAGGACATTTGAGATTGGATTAAATGGAGTTTGCATTATGATGTGACCAAGAGGTGGAATGTGGTGATTCAATAAGAGTGACCCCAGAGGCTCATATATTTGAATGCTTCATCACTAGGAAGTGGAACTATTTGAAAAGAATAGAAGGATTAGGAGGTATGGCCTTGCTGGAGGAAGTGTGTCACTGGGGTTGGCCTTTGAAACCTCAATCTCTCTGTCTACTGTCTATGGATCAGGACATAGCTCTCAGCACTACTCCAGTGCCATGCATGCTGCCAGGCTCCCCACCATGATGATAATGGACTAACCTTCTGATACTGTACAGAAGCCCCCAATGAAATGCTTTCTTTTGTAAGAGTTGCCTTGGTCATGGTCTCTCTTCACAGCAACAGAACAGTGACTAAGACAGCTAAGCACTCACCTGCAAGTGAACCAGAAACTAAGCCAGGAAGCAGCAATCTGGTAGCAAGATAATGAACAAATATGAAAAAATATCTATGTAAACCCTCAGAATAAACTGCTTAGATTCCAAAATGTTATTTAATAATGCCACTTAAATTTATGCCTAAATATATAAGTGTGTGCTATGGCAGAGGGTGCTGGAGGGAAGGCTCAGCAGTTAAGGGTACATACACACTGTTCTTCAGAGAACCTCAGCTCAGTTCCCAGCACCCAGATTGGGTGGTCCTAACTGCATGTGACTCTAACTCCAGGAGAAATCCTGTACCTTGTGGGCACCTGTACTCACTTGCAAATATTCCCCTATATATATATATACATAATTAAAAATAAATCTGTAAAGGTATATAAGTATGAAATTTTAAATCTCAGGTTTGGGGTAATGGTCATTTTTTTTAAATGTCTGATCATTAAATCATTTGGGGTTTTGTTTTGAGGTTAGCAATGGTTTTTAAGAAACAATTTCAATTTCATTAGTTGATATCATCATTGTGTATGGATATAATTTTGTCAAACTGACCAACAAAATAACTAAACATTTCAGTCTAAATATAACTAAATATTTCTATCTCCTCACCTGGAAAATCTTTACTAAAAGCAGATTTTCTGACTCTCCCTGCCTTTGAGTTTTTCTTTAATGGTGAAATAGGTGAACTCATATTTTTCATGGTGCTGGACTGTAGGAGGAAAAGCCCATCTGCTAACATATTTAAACTGAAGTTCATAGAACCCTGCCGCAAACTACAATTTTTACCTTCATATAGTCAACATAAAACAGCTGTCAGTGTATGAGAGCTGTAGAGTAACTGTAGTCCCAAGGGGGCACCATCTGTATGGGTTAGAAAATATCAACATTTTGGGGTGGAGAGATGGCTTCCTTCTCAAGCCCAGGGACCTGAGTTTGATGCTCAATCTCACATAATAAAATCTGGATATGGTACCATGTGTTTATCATCTCAGTGCCAAGCAGCAGGGACAGGGGAGGATCCCTGGCCATGAACCTAGCCTACTTGGTAAGTTCCAGACTATCATAAAAAAGGGTAGATAGCATTGCCCTAGGAATGACACTCAACCTCTGACCTCCGCATTGTATGCAACACACACACACACACACACTCACAGACATACACATTCACACACACACCCATACAAATGCTCACTAACACACAGATTCTCTCTCTCTCTCTCTCTCTCTCTCTCTCTCTCTCTCTCTCTCTCTCTCTC